GAACTAAGCATTGTAGCCTAGAATTGGTCTTGAGGTGTAGGTGGTGGGATGGGTGATAACTGAGGAGGATGTCGGATGTGGATGGACTTGAGTTGGTTCGTCAGCTTATCGGGTGAAGTAGGGGGTGGGATCAAGTGTGGCGGTGGTGGTGCTGGTGGATATTGGAGTGGAGTAGGTTGGTGTTGGGTTTGGAATTGAGGTGATGGTTCAGAAGGATGAAAGGCGGGATAAGCTTGTGTTTGGTTTGAGCCTAGTTCTGAAGCATTCGATCGGATCGATGCTGGTGCAGGTGGATGGGGATGAACTTGTGATTTGTCAATTGAAGAATGACGTGAAAGGTTTGATTCTCCATGGATGGATGGATCATGGTTTGATTCAGGATGGACTTCATTCTTTTGTTCTTGATGAGGAAGACCGGTTGGACTGATTTGATGACGGGTTGTAAGATGAGCTCCAGCTCCGGGTCCAGCTCCAGAAGGATGTGTACCGGTAGAAGACGAAACTGAAGTTGAAGAGAAATGAGAACTAGGAGCAGGGATTGGACCTGGATGAGTGCTGAGATTAGATTGAGGTAAATGATGATTCGAAACTGAAACGAAGGGTGGGAATTTAGGATCATGAAGAAGTGTGTTTGAAGGTTTTGATTGAAGTTGATGATGTGGATGTGGATGAGGAGAAGGTCTTTGGATAGGTTGAAGTTGGTGAATGGAAGCAGAAGAAGATCGAAGAAGATGAGTTGAGGTGGAATTGATCGAATGTGGTTGTGATTGTGAAGAAGGATTTGAAAGATATGGAGAGGATGGTTTGATTTGATTTGTTTGATGAGTCGAAGTAGATTGCGTTCTGTTAACATCATATTAGCAGTCAGTTATGCAAATGAAGTTAGAGATACTTGGATTGATCGACTTACAAGGATTGATGATCCAAAGGAGTGACACCAGTGAGATAAGCTATTGAGTTTCTTGGAATATGATAAGAAGCAGTCGAATAATCCCATTGTGGACCCTAACAATTCATCGAATCAGTTCATCAGTTTGAAAGAAATCAATGAATTAGGTATTGGTTAGAAAGCACTCAACTCTAGATCTTCTACCTTGAAGTAAAGCTGAATTCCATTTTGAACAATTCTTTAATGCTCTTAACTTTCGATCGGATTGTTGATGTGGTTGTTGATGATGATGATGATGATTAGATTGTGAGATGGATGAAGTAGTATTGTGAGTTCTTTTACTGATTACCATCGTAAAGTCGATAATAATAGTGAGGATGTCCAATGGTTTGGTTCTTGATTCTGATCGATCAGCGTTCAAGCGAAAGAAAACAATTCATGATCCGGCCTCGGTACACGCAATGCCTCCCACAAGCACCGGGGCTGCAAAGTTAAGCATGGATCCCAAACTTAACTAAGTCCAGCTTAAGTTACAGCTAAGTCCTGCTTAAGTTAGAGCTAAGTACAGCTCAAGATAACAAGGGATTCAGTTAAGTTGGATGGAAACCCTCTTGGATTACACACAACCTTCTTTCACAGCAAGCACATGTGGCCTGGTAAAGGTATTAGACACCAGGCATATCTTGCCCAAATTTTCATGCATTGTTATCTGAATTCTTCACTTTCAAAGTGGTTCTTTGAATTCAAGAGCAGCAGAAAAATGTGTTACAGTGCAAGTGACATGCTATTTTGCCACTTGATTACCTTTCCAAACCCATGTTCAATAATTGAGATGTTCCAGTCAAAAACAAGTTCCCTGAAATTGATCTAATGATCTAAATGTATGAGTTTACAGTCTTTGTAAGATCTATCAGCAGATTTTGAGAGCTTTGTGTTGTTGCTAGATTTGATGTAGAGGTCAAAAACTCAAAAAAGACCTTTTGAGATTGATAACTTTACTGCCCATTGTACCAATCTAGTTCACTCTGAAAGTGATATAGTTTTGAATTTTTGACTTCAAAAGTCAAATCTGGCAACAACAATCTTTTCAAAAATCTGTCAGTAGATCTTACAAAGTCTGGAAACAGGCTTCTGCCTTCCTGTGTGAAGGCCAAATTATGTAACATATCAGTTTTAGATTGATTTAAGAGTTGACCCAACCTACCACCAACCCCATCTATGTATACTACCATACGGGAAAATTTGTGGACAGATATTCAATTCTCTTTTCTTTTATAATTTGTTTTGCTGATGTTTTTACATTTTTTTAATTCCTGCCCCCTAGCCTGTTTTCAAACACAGGGTTAAGTTTCACATGGAGTTTTGTCATCTCTCAATTCTATCCGAAAGGAGTAGGGGAACATTCCAGTGTAGTAGTTCAGCACCAAGTTGTGGTCACCCTCAGCACTCCTACAATCTTTTTCTCACACAATCAAGGTCCAGGGCCAACTAGAATAGCACATGTAAAGAACACCTGAATGACTTGAAGTGAGAAAATGGTGGATGGTGAAGAAACTGTGCAGGATTCAGATATTGAAGTCTTCTTTAAGTGAGTACAGTCCATACCATTTGCTTATGAAGGAATGTTACACAAGCTAAAATGACATGTACTGCTCAAGTTCAGATTTGTGAGTATGGCCGTTGAGAAAAGATGCATTTTTTTTTCTTTGCACAAAGCAAATTGATATGCAAAGTAATCACACAGTAAGCTGATGTTAGATAAATTATATATTTGGGAGTGAACAATGAGCCATATTTACAACACAGGAACCAAGCTCTTTTGGAAATTGTGATCAGTTACTATATTATAGTCCACAACAATCCTTTGAACCATTGTGCTTTTGACCCAATTTAATTATCATGAACAAAGATAAAGCAGCCAGAGCAGAAATTACAAGTATGTTTAAGACTTTGATCTGTGTATTGTTTGGTTTTGGAGCAGTCCTCACTGCCAACAAAGATGCCTTGGATTGGAAAATCTGAGGTATCCTCAGATGGCAATAGCCTTGGATGTGTTGTCCAAGTAAATGATCCAAGGTAATCTTTGGGACCAAAGAAAGCCTCAGATGAATTCCTCAGACACAGTCCAAGGCATTCTATATCAGAGGACCAAGGACCCCGAGCTGGTGCATGGCCATCCTCAGAAGACTTCATGGATGGAACTGAGATCTTCCACCTCATATATCTTTTCATCAAGCCAAAGATGACTATCAAGATATAATATGATTTACTTTAATCAATTCGTGACCATTCTATAAAGATTTTTTTTCTAAATAAGATTACAAAAAAAAGAAACAAAAGACACTGTTTCTTATTTGAAAAACGGTTTTGTTTCTATGTTTCCTTGAGAAAATAGATAATTTTACAAAATCCAAACCTTTTCATCTTTTGATCATCTTTCCTACTCCCTACTTCGTTACATACAGTGATGATGATTTGTATGGAGAATGTTGAGCAAGAAATAGAACGAATCCAACCCTTCAAGAACCTCAACCCTAGGCATCCGTAGACCAGGTGATCGTAACAAATCGAGTTTGTTCAAGTTTTCTCAATTCAGGGAAGAAAGCGTTGTGAGGTATACGAGTAAGAGGTTTTGACTCTTTTTTTGGCGGTGAGGCGGTGTGGCGGTGTGGCTAGGTGAAGGCTCGAAGGTATTCGGATGGGAAAGATTGGGGAGAAAAGTGGTAGAGATTTAATCGATTGGACCTAGATAATCTTCCTACAAACCAGATCAATCTGAATCAACAAATATAACTAATCCCAGAATCAAAAACGGAGTTTACTTTAATAGTTCCAATAGCAAACTGGCAAACCACAAACCAAAACCAAAGTTCAATCAATGAAAGAACGTTTAGTCAGAGAGAGAGAGACATAGACAAACAATTTCAGTAGCATCTACACGTGTTCCCACAATTTTTAACCGAATTCTAGTTCCTTTTTCAATTGTTGCTTGATCTTCATCTGATGAAAAACAAGGAGGATTTGCATTGGGATCGAACCTTAAATCAGATGGAATCAGCTAATAACCCCCCAGAAAAAAAAGTTAATTAGTTAGACTAAGGAGTTTGTAGATTTTTTGAAAGAGAATGAGGACTTTACATGACTAGACACAAAAGCTTGTAATGGTCCAACTTCTACAAAGAATCCCATCTTGTTCACTTGTCCTACTATCCCATCTACTACTTCACCTTTGAAAGGTTTTAATACAATCGCCTAATTACATTTCCCCCATGAATAAACAGATCAATCATTCGTTTTCTTCATTCTTTGAGATCTAGGTTTGTAGAGAAATGTATAAAGTTTACCGAATACTTGATGACGAATTCGGCCATTCCTGTACCTGGTTGGATCGTTCCTGCTGATATTGATCGTATAGAAAGAACAGCAATGATATACCCAAACCTTCCTAAACACAAGAAAAACGAATTGTTAATAAAAGTTTGATTTCTTTTGGAGAGAAGTGATGAGGTTTACCTGTACAAGTTCCTTCTACATCTCTATTTAGTTTATCTTCCAGGAAAGATTGAGTACGTGGACCGAAAAAAGAAGGATGCAAGTTGATTGTATGTGAAAGTTCTTTCTGTAGAAAACATACAAAATGGTTTGAGAATGGTTAGTGGTTTTGATTGTATTTGAATGATTAAATGATTTACTTACGATGAAGAACATGATTGGTTGGTTGATTTATAAAATGTCGTATATGTTTAATCGTGAGGTTGAGTGTGATGCGGTTTAGAATGAGACTGTGATGGAGTTTGTGAGTCGACTCGTGATGGTGGTTGGGAAATGTAGTTTTGAAAAATACAGTTTGAACTTGAATCGATAGTCATACACCACACAGAACAACTCAACCCAACTTTCAATTTCTCAAAGAGAAATACTGTTTCTACTCTTCATCACCAAATCAAGTCATCTTTCAATGGGCATACCACAAGATCTTGTGGCAGAGAAAAGGTCTACTGCACTTTTGTCATTCATCAAGTCCTGCTGTGGTTGGTGATGATGTTGCTGACAAGGGAGGATGGTTGTTGTCATGATGCAATGTGTTTTGCTTGGAAAGGTTTTGTGTGATCAATAAGCTTGTCTTGATTTGTTGTCTTGGTGTCTTTTGGTTGGCCAGTCCTTGTAACCTGTTGGCCTCCTTTTGGAGAAGGTCCAGAACCTTGGTGCACCACTAAGTGTTGTGCTTGAAATAAACTGCCTTGCCCGGTGGGTCTTTTCCAGTGTGTTGATAACAGCCATGCACAGCTTGTTGTCAAAGTATTTGATGTCCCCTTGTGTAAGGAGCAATCACAGTTTGGGAAGGGATAGTGCATAATTACTGCTTGGTGATTGGATTGGTGATTGAGAGTGTTGTATTTGTCAATGAAGCAGGTGATAGTTGTGTTATAAAAGTCTTCATGACCCATACTTGGTCAATGCAGGTGCCTTTGGTGTTTGTTGATTGAACACCAAAGGTTGGTATAACTTTTGGAGAGTGAAGATTGAGGCCTGTATCTGTTAGAATTTCAATCAGCTTCTCCACATCCTTATTGTGAAGAATACTGTGGCTAAGGTTCAAGAGGGAAGAGTGTAGATTAGAATTGGTTTTTCAGATGATGATAAGTAATTGGGTGGTTAGAGGAGTTGTCCAAAGCATTGCAGTAAAGGCTTCAAAACCACTGAGGGTTTTTTGAGGGCTATAAATGCTGGCTATCAATATGGTCAAGCCATTTATATCAGCTGTGCTTGCCACTAAATCTCTAGATAAAACAATTAGTTCAAGACAGAATCCAGTGTCAATTGCATATGTACATGACTAATTTACTATTCATTATTTTGTACGCCTTGCAATTAGGGCTCTATCTATACCCCAATTCTGGCTAAAACTTTTCATCTTGAGTTTTAGCACAGATAGCCCAAGCTCAGTAACCTATTCTACTTCTACAAAAGGTACAAGAATTGGCTTCATTGGTATACTTCTGGAGTCTCAAGGTAAAAACATTCAATAGGGTAAGTGTCACATACAAACTCATTCATAGTGAATGATGCATCTAAATGGAAAAAAGTGGACCACTTGTTCCAGTCTCTCCTTGTCTCCATTGGTTTTGCCAACTTTGTATATCAGGTCCTACTGTTTTTTAATTCAGTGTATCCAATGTTTGGCTTTTGCAGTCCAGCTTTTAGAAATTACACCTTTTGTTATGCATTTGCCTTTTGTTCAACATTGATATTGATTCACTTATTTCATGCACAAAACTACCATGAGTCTTGGAAATGGTCCTTTACAGTCCCTTCTCTTTTGTATTGATTTTACTGCCATGCTCTTGCAGTTGAGCTATTGTTAAAGACTATTGTTAAGACAATATGCATTGCAATATTTGCTGCACAATTTTGTCAACATGCTTCACAAACCTCACTTCAACCCTTGTGCCACACTGAAGTGACACTGAATTCAGCAGTTTTATATCAATGTACATTCCTGATCTCTTGTATCCATTTCCTGCAACTTTTTGGTGTATATCATGTGATTAACAATTCCTACCCAATTTACGTAATTTTCATCAAGTTTCAAATGCATGATCAATTTGTTGAGCTTACTCAATACCATGGATATAATCTCATGAATCATATTGATGAAATCCTGTTTTCCAATAAATTCAACCAACTCATCTTTGACTTTTTTGTGTCTTTTTGTACCTTGCCTAGTTGAGCATTTAAGTGAATTCTTTGATCTTACTGGGTAGTGATCTAGTCATAAGTCTTTGTATGATGATTACAACAAAAAAAGTGTATTTGATTAAAGTATTAATTGTTTGGTATATAAGATGGTACTGTTTGGCAAGAAGATCAAATTCTTATTACTCATCATAGATTTTTAAAAAATCATTCCATTATATCTTGTTCACAAAATTGACTTCTTTGTATAAACTCAACTTTCTCAAATACAGATCTTTTGTTCAACCTTGGATCTTTTTTCAACTTTCTGTCTCAAAAAAACAAACCAATTTTGAATCTAATTACAGAAATCTTACATTCAGAAATGTTCAACTTGTAGATTTTCTCTTGTTTTTCATTTCACTTCTTTTGATTTGTAATAGGTCAACAATTACAAAGATTGATTGTTTTGAGAAACAAAACTTATTCTCTGTTATATTTTTACTCTCATTTCTGCTTTCCTTGAGACCCAGAGTCAGCATATAAAGAACTCACCATGTTGCTTGCAAACCAAATTTACTAACATTAAATTTTGATCTAGTTATATGAGATTGTCTCAACATCAAAGGCAAGCTGGTGGATCAGACGCAAGTAACCCTGCCAAAGGAGGTGATGATGGAAGTGGTGGTGGTGGTGGTGATGGTCGTGGTGGTGTCCCTGGTAGGAAAGGAGATCCTCCTGGTGCTCTAAGACTATAGTGGACCCCCATGGGTTGATTTTGCACCAATGAGAACCATTGTATCATGTTGTGAATTCCTTGTCATATGTCTGTTTTATGATTTTTCTATCATAATGACTATTTGTGGGTCTGGAGTATTCATGAAGATATCTTGACATGTTTATTAAACATATTTTGATACGTTTGAATCCTGTAAATAAATCATGAATCCATTCAAAGAAAATCTTCCTTCAGTACCACAGAAACAAAGATGATAGAAGTAAGGATATGTTTGAGGTATCCAAGGTCATCAGGTTAATGTTTCTTGTGTCATTTAGGGCAAGTTAACTTAAGGAACTTCTGACCAGAAATCACATTCTGTGAATTTTTTAATACAAAAATGAAACATGCTCCACCAAATAGACACTTTAAAGTTTGCTGAATGTGATTTCTCACCAGAAATTGCTTAAGTGAACACACCCTTAGACATGACCTACCCATATGCTCTAAAACACACTCTCTGCTCAAGGTTTTTCAAACAACCTCTTGGGTTTCTCTTTATACGTCAGGGTATCAAAGCACTGAAGACTTTGCCACCAAGCCCTTGATGAAAACGGCCGTATGAGCTTTGAAAGTCCAATTGATCCTTTGGCTGTTGGACAGTGCTTCATGAGTGAGGAGGAAGCTGCTGGACCTCAATATGTTTCATAGGCTCCGTCTTTGATTCTTCCCCGTTCAGTTGGCAATCTCGTTTAGGATTCTATCGGACTGCCTGTCTGAGAAAGGTTTTCGTGCGCGGTTGAGTTGTTCACTAAAAGAAAGTCGCGTCTTCAGATCGCGTTTGACGCGTTTTTCCCTCCGAAACTTTTAGCGGGCATTACGCGATGGCTTTCGGTTGTTGGGGAAAGAGCTCTGAAGAGGTTGAAGAAGTTGATGGAGTATGAGATAGAGAAAAGGAATTATTGAAGGAATGAAGCACTTGATAAATTGAGAATCATCGTACGAAGAGGTCACGTGCAAGTCATGATTAACTTAAGGTGATTTTGAGTATGTACTTAAGTTTAGAGAGACGTGACATACAGACTCGTCAAGGTACAAGTCCTTTCAAGTCAACATCAACTTCACCATCAAACCTCAACTGCTTTAAAACCTTCAATCGCTTTTAACTTTCTCATTTCGATTAGACCTTCCAAACATGCTTGAAGCCAAGATAGCAAAAGCAGCAGTACTCAAACAAGTATTAGATGGTCAGTTTTCTTTTCCCACCTTATGTTTCTTATCGATGATACTTAATTCAAAAGAAACGCGTCCTTTTGGTTTGAATGATTGGAAAATCAGCTATTAAGGAACTTGTAACAGATGTTAACTTTGATTGTGATGAGGATGGAATGGTAAGTCAAAACAAATAGTTTATTATAAAAGATTACTTTGAAATTGATTTTCCTGTGGTTGTTGTTTTCTGTAGAAATTACAAGCAATGGATAACTCTCATGTTGCATTAGTCGCATTACTTTTAAGAACGAATGGGTTTAGTCAATTTAGGTCAGTTTACATTTGATTTCTCATCTTTTTTCGAATCGATCATAAATAAATTGATATTTTCTTTGTTTTCTTTTGGATACTAAATCTTTTTGATCTTCTTCATTTTTTTTGGTTTAGATGTGATCGAAATATGTCACTTGGTATAAATGTTGGATCGTTTCAAAAAGTGGTCAAATGTGCTGGAAATGATGATATTGTGACGCTTAGAGCTCAGGATGAAGCAGATGTATTGAATGTGGTCTTTGAGACTCTAAGTAAATCATCTTGACTTGAACTTATCTCTCGTCTTACAAGTTTGATTGACCCATCTTTGTTTTTGGTCCTTTCTGATAGATACCGATCGAGTGGCAGAATATGATATGAAGATGATGGATATCGATATAGGTGATTATCATTATATTCAACTAGTCTAAGACTTTCAAGACATTACACTGACTTTCTTCCTCAACTTCTCCACCCTAGAACATCTTTCTATTCCTGATACTGCATACGATGCAGAGATCACAATGCCAGCATCCGAATTCAGTCGAATTGTACGAGATTTAAAAGAATTAGGAGAATCGGTTCGAATTGAAGCAACAAAAGAAGGAGTCAAGTTTTCAGCAGAAGGAGATATTGGTAAAGCAAGTGTGACACTTAAACATACAGATCCTAAACAGAAAAAAGGAAGCAAAAGTAAAGATCCAATGGTTATTGACGATGATGATGATGAGGAAGGTGAAGAGGAAGACGTTGTTAAAAAAGATGATGACGAAGAGGAAGAAGAAGACGTGAAAGTTAAACAAGAAGATGAAGAAGAGGATGAAGAGGAAAAAGAAGATGATGATGAAGATGAAGATGGACCGAAACCTAAGAAACGTAAGGTCGTTAAGAAGAAGAAACCGGCCAATGGAAAAGCGAATGCTAAGAAAGGGAAGAAAGAAGAAGTTGAGGAAGCTGATATGAGTGTTTCGATTAGTTTAAGACAGAGTGTTTCTTTAACTTTTAGTATCAAGTATCTTAGTAACTTTACCAAAGCTTCACCTTTGGCTAATAGAGTGGTGGTCAGTTTGTTTTCCATGTATCATTTGCAAGCTTTTCCTTGTATGAAGTTATTAGAGATTAACGCGTTTTTCTTTTTCTTTTTTGCGGACTTTTTGATAGCTTCATATGTCGAACGAAGTACCTCTGTTGGTAGAGTACGATTTCCAGAGTGGATGTAAGTTTTGAACCATTATATTTGAGAGAGAATGAGCCTTCTCTTGCTTGAATTTGATTATAACTCAAACTGATTTTGATTTGAAAAATGTGATGTGATTGTTCTTTTCTATAGATGTTAGATATTATCTTGCACCTAAGATTGAAGATGATTGATGAAATGTATAAAATTGTTTCTTTTTTGTTTGATGTTATAAATATATACTCTTGAACAAACAAATCAAACACACAAACAAAACTGTCCCCACTTGAACAAAATCAACAAATGAGGTTTATTATTTACTCTCTCTCTCTTTCTACTGTTTTTGGGTTACATTTTGAAGAAGAAGAAAAAAACCTTTGCGATCGATATCTGATTTCCTTCTCCTATATAAGCTCATTGGATCTTTTTATCTCATCTTAATCTATCCTGTTTTCTTTGACACTTGGTAGTATCATTTTATTTAGAATGTATCACATTCGCAAGGGATTCTTTTCATTCTAGGTTTTTTTATATATATGATTCAATGTGGTTTAGGAAAGGTTTCTTTGAAAGTATGAAAAGTGAGATTTGAAGGAAAGAAGAGTACTTGCAATTAAAAACGTTGATCAAGGTTTGATTCTAAGGAAAGGGTGTTTTTAGCAGTCAATAGAAGGTTTGAAGGTTTATCTAGCAGTCAATAAGCTTTGTACAACTTGAGGATTACAAAAAGGCCTGCAATCAATCCAAGTGAATCGATGAAGTTGGTCTTATACAAAACACGGCATAAAAGAGTCATTGGCCCTTGGCTCAGCGTTTTCTTGAAGCTCATTCAATTTCAAGTAGTGAAACAATGTCGTGACATCAGTTCATAAAACTTCATCAACATTTGTTTTGGGTCATCCTGTTGATGCTGGCTTGATTCCTTGAAAGGCCGCGGCTGTAGAAAGCCTAAACGTGACTGTTGACGTCACATGAATTAGATTCTTTCCTTGATCTTCACTTTTACGAACGGAGTGAGAAAACAATTGTGCATCGGTCAGATTTCCTCAAAAGTACAGCATGACTTGATAGATTATCCCTGGGCACTTGATGATGGCCCTTAGATTCTTGACCGATGTTGATGATTTCTATCAGAGTAACTTTGGCGCCTCATGACGCATTAAGACGCGTCATTTCTCCACTCCAATTCGTGTCTTACCCTTGAGGATGCTCGTATAAGAATGACATCTTCACGGCTCTTTTCTTTCGTCATTCATCCATTCTTCCTCAATTACTTTTACCTTTATACTCTTTGAACATAATTATCGCATACCAAACTTCAAACTACTCTTGATTATTAATTACCCAAACCGCGTCAGTTCCAATAGATTTTGATTCGTTCAACTGATGATATAATATATTGCCTATTCTTTTTTGGAATGACTACTAACGAATTAATGGTCCTTCTTTTCGATTTTCTTTGGTATCAGACGATTCACTAATAGGCCGACATTGATTTTAAGGATACTCCATCACAGCTTTCCACTGAACTTGGTCTTATTTATTCTACTGTCAAAACACTACTTTTCTTTACACGTTCACTTCTTCGTTCAGAACGGTGGCATTGTTTTTTTTGGTATGTTTGCCTTTTGTTTAACTTTACAATGTTTGAAATCATAGGATGTTGACAAGATCGATGATACCTGCATTTAGGCCGGTCCACCTGATAGCCCTTCTTATACTTCAATACTTCTTTAATTCACATCATGTTATCAACCGGAAGATTAATTCCAATGCCTGTTGGTCATATCTCACAAACCGCTACATGGTCGCATTCTTTAGCGCGCTGCCATCTTGAAAGGGAAATCATCGATTTTACACCAAGTCAATTAAGAGCTCTCGGTGTGCATTATCAACTTGAACAACAAATAAGAGTACAGAAGCAAAAAATAGAACATCATCTCAAAGGAATCGATCTTTGTGAAGTGTATGGAGCTAAACCCCAACAATTTATTTATCCTGGGTATTTTACCAAACAACGTGTAGATCAATATCTTCAAAGAAGAAACTCAAAAAAGATGTATCGAAGGCAGAGAAAACAAGAGAACTACAGAATCCAATTTGAGAATGCTAAAAAGAGTGTGTTTGAAGTTCATTGTGCCTTACAACGTGTACAAATACAACGACGGAAAGAAGTTACAGAACGACAAGCAGCTTATGTATCACAGGTCCTTCAAGATGATGAAGGAATGAAAGTCGAAATCGAAATTATAGTCCAATCTTCCTGGGATTCAGAAGGCATGCAGTACTGGGGACCTCAAGAGCGTAAGGGTTTTGTACCATTTTTGATGATAGTCTATTGGATGAGTTATAGGCTACTTCGAGCACTTCTTTCTGGATAAAGTTCAATAAGTTCTTCGTGGCATTAATATGATCTAGCAGATTGTTTCTTTTAATTTTCCTGTGAAGTTTTCTCTTGTCTTCTCTTGATGTTTTATTCTTTTTTTTCGGGTTTCACTTGTTTCTAACTTGCATATCTTGATTATGTTTTCTTCATATTTTTCTCATCATCTCGCTACTTTCTTGAAATTGTTTAGTTGGTTACCTTTGATTAATAGTTGTAAGCATTGAAGATGAGTTTAATCCTCTGGATATGATGATGTGATTACCGTTAAATTGGTTTGCGATTATAAGCTTACCAGACTCCCTCGCTGCTCGTCTGACGCTCCGATGCACAGTTGTCTCATGACATGAAGGCTCGCTATCTATCTACTTCGCTTGAGCCTTCCTCTTGAGGATCACCATATGAGAGACTCAGGGAGTGGTATCTTCACTGCTTCCTGGTTCTGAAGTCCTTCATCCCTTGCCTTTTAAATAGCTTTACTTGACAAATTTCCAAATATTATCATATCATGGCCAAGCTTATCACCGATTTTCAATTACCTCGTAAGTCCCATTGTTTGTTCGTCGCCCAGGTACACTGCAATATCTCTCCTTTTTTTAGGATGAGCACTCGCAATTTGTTTGTTCTTTGTTTTGCTCATTCCTTTGATATCTTTTTCTAGACCAATAAGCGATTGGAAACCGACGAATGGTTTCTTCGAAGTTTTCCATTACGAGTTTTCTTACATTATTCCCATGTCCTCTGGGCAGTTCAACCTTGCGTCTATGTCCAGCTCGTCAAACTGAGATTTCCCTGAACGCTACCGGGTCACACTGTTCAGCAAAATGCAATCTTGTGAGGGAACGTCTTGATTTTGCCCGTAGTCAATTAAAAGCAATCGAGGTTTACTACAATCATGAACCAAACGTAAAACCGATGCAAAAGATAGAGCCTTTCAGTTCAAAAGCAACGCGAGCTTGTAAAGTTTTTAGTTTGACATCCAACAATTCATTTATCCCAGTCATTTCACTCAGCATTTTTATCAAGAATAACGTGAACGAAGAAAGTCAAAAAAGAGTTATAGGGAAAAGCAACTGAAAGCAAAACATGAAAAAGCTTTTGAAAAAAGCTTCCAAGAGTGCATTTGAAGTTCTTTCTGGCTTACGAACTTCGCAGATAAATAGACGTTAGGAAGTCGAAGAAAGAGTTTCAAACCCTTCATCAGATTCATCAGAAGTTTTCCCAGAGGAAGACCAAACGACATCAATTCACGCTCAACCACTTTTTAAAGTTTTACCAATGCAACAACAGGAATGCCAATTAAAGCTAGCACAAGAACGATACATATTAGCAGAGCAACAGAGACGTTATCAAGCGCAACAACAACAGCATCAAGAGCATCAAAAACACCTTAATCTTCCACAACTACCACTACAATTCCAACAACCCCAACAAGCTCAGCCATCACAATTCTGCTCTGGAACAGGATCTCGATTTGATGCTCGGTCTATCGGGTCTACTTACTCTACCACTCCTTCAACACCTATGTCCTGGGTAGTTTCCGCAGCAGCTCAAATCTCTCCACTTCAAAAAGAGACGGCTTGTCCAGATGTCGGAATGGTAGATGCTTGTTCAATGGTTGTCGAAGACGATCGAATGGATTTGGAGCACCAAGATGTTGTTGATGAGAATAAGATGATCATTGATGGGTTCGAGATGGATTGCGTGATGATGGAAGTTGACCTTTTATCTGACGATGTAGATTGTTTCATGCAATAAGCTTTTTTTCTTTTGATGTTTTTTATAATTTTCTTTTTGCTTGATCATGATGTCCGTTTGCTTGATTTTTCCTTCTATTTGACATAAGAAATATAGTCAATGCTTTCACGGATCCACTGACTTCATGTTGAACTCTTGACTTGCTTTATGTCCATAACTTGGCTGTTATATTGGTTTCATTGATTATGAAGGACTGACGTATTCTTCAATGCTCATGCCACCCTATAAAGCTTGTTGACGCCAATCAGAATTCCCACTCAAGTACTAACTTGTAGTAAAAGGTGCAATGAACCCACATTTGCCTGCTTATACTTGCATACCCCCTTCATCAGGTAGCTATTTGTGCCCTTCATCAGAATTTCACAAGCTTTTGGTTCAGTTATGCTTGTAGGAATATGACTAAACAACGGGAAGATTTTCGAAGGCTTAAGAAGCAAGTTAAAATCAACACAAACTCCGCGACCACACTCTTGGATGCTCCCAAAGTGTTTCGATTTTCTGCAAAATTTATTGGAGGCAAGATTTGCGGACCTGAAGGCCTATCTAGACACTCAAATTCGAAACCATCAAATTTCCATGCTATTTTTGATATTTTGTTTATCTCTATTTTCATTTCGCCTGTACATATCTTGGGCGCCTTGTTTCGCGCATCGAACTTTTTGTCAGGACGTAGTAGACCACTATAAGAGAAAAAAAGACAGTCGTAAGGTATATTACAGTAGATCTACGTAGCAGCTAGTCAGTGCGATATACGAAAGCGAATAAATCAATATCCATCCAAATGACTTTCTGACCCTTCTGCTGAAGTTGGTCTGAATTGACGTGTCTGATAGAAAGCTTGCAAACGCATACCCGGATAGTCGCGACCATTAACGCGGCATGAATAGTTTTATTCCCTTGATCTCAACTTTTACAACCACGGTGATGAAACTTTTTGCATATCGATTAGATTTCTTGACTGCATGATTTGTAAGATCGTTCCTTGGCCCTTGATAATGGCCCTTACCAGCGACTCTTGACCGATTTTGATGGTTCCGATCAGAGTAACTTAGG